TTGAGAAGTATAAATAGCAGAGAAGGCCCCAAAAAGTGCCCTCAGACTCAGATCCAAAAAATCAGTTTTATCTACTTTATTTTCCTTTCATTTTTTATATTTCTTGTTCTTTACATTTCTGTACTTCAATTCCTGCACTGCATTTCGTTCGTAGGAGTAGTTTCAAGTAGTTTGTTACTGTAAACCTCTACGAGGCTGATTTGGATCTTTGTAAGCCTTTCATTTTACTTAATGAAACGCTACATTTGTTCTTCATTTAATCATTGTTTGCTTAATTCTCCTAAACAAAGTCACCAGTAAAAGTCCTCTTCATTGAGGCTGAAAGAACTAAAACACAATCGTCTGATAATTGGTTGGCAATTAACATTCTGTAAGGACTGATTGATCCTTCCTGATACACTCAAAATTACAATAATAACTTTCAAAAGTCAAAATATCAACAATATGATCGCTATGTTTTGGCCTTACAATATTGTTATTCACTAACATATAATATTATCCGTTACTTTTTGATATGGACCGATTTTTATGATTGTATTAATCATACAATACATATGCCGACACCAATCATGCTATGCGTTTGATATTTTACATCTAAATTTTTTTTGTCTGATTTGATGAATGAAAATAGTTTTTAAAAAAAAACAAAGACAAAAACTGATTGAATTTGATAACTGTTAGGAGTTATTTTCTAAGTAATTAAAAATATTGTCAATTTTGACAAAATAAAAAATCTTTAAAAGGTGTCAAACCCTTTCTGAAATCATATTTGTTGGTTTTTAAATATTGTGGCTAGTGGCAGAGGCAGCCAGGGACGAGGGGGTCATGTGCCCCTGAATTTTGGGAATTTTTTTTTTTTTGTAAATATAAAGAAAGAGGATGATTATTGGTTCAATAATTAAGACTTAACCTAATAATCTTAAAGTTATGGGTTCAAGTTTTGGGACCACTCTTTTGTGCATTATGTAAGGTTAGGTGTGTACTTAATCTTTTTTCTCCCAAACACACATGTGTACTGATTGGGCGTTGTTGTTTTGTTGCAAATATAAAGAAAATATTTTAAATAAAAAAAATTACAAAAAATATTATTAGAGTAAAATGTCAATGACATTTTAAAAATTATGAGAACAATAATGGTTGTTTTGAATGAAAATGAAGAGACTATTATTAACCATATCATCTATGAAAATTTTATAAAAAATTTTGAATGTAACGGTGATGTCATTATTATTGACATGCAAGTATAAGTAATCTCATTATAAAGATATGAAATTTATTGGATTGTTAGTAACATTTGACATGTGAGGTTCACTTTCTATGTGCTTATTTACTATTAGTTAGTGATATCGCATACTAATGATGACGTGATATTACCATTTTATTGAATTTTTAATTAAATTTTGTATAAATTTTTTTATCATTATATAATTTATTTTAAGACTTATATTCATATTTTTTTATATTGTCCATGATACATTAGTTATAAATAACATTATTTTTTTTTTATGTTTGTCGAAATTAATCGTAAAAACTTGCGTTAAATATTTTTATAAAATTTTTTAATATTATAATTAATAAGTGTCCTCTCTAATTTGATTTTTTTGGCTCCGCCACTGATTGCGGCAATTGAGAAAACTTAAAAGGCAGTACAGCGAATAAGCACAAGCAAAAAAATTTCTTCGATGTCTTTGAGTTTTCTTGACAACCAAACATAAGATTGCAGAGAACATATAAATTTAATTTATTTTTTCTTTTGTAGAAGAAAAACTTGGACAGACTTCCAACGATTTTCCAAGTGGAAGAGGACAATAAGGCATGCCTGAATAACTATTTTGAGCGAAGTTGAATTCCATTGATAAAAAGTGGCGAGAAAACAAACAAGAAAGTTTTAGGGTTTTGAAGGGTTTGGAGTTTTTTTAGGGGTTTTGGATAGGGGTGCAACTCGGGCGGGTTCGGTTGGGTTGGGGGTCTGCCCAAGCCCGACCCGAATTGTATTTGGCAGTGCCCAAGCCCGCCCATGAACCCGAGCATTGCTGCCCAAGCCCGGCCCGAGCTTTGTATTTTGAGCTCGGGTTAGCCCAAATTGCCCGAATTGCCCGAATTACCCGAATTGCCAGAGTCCAGAAACCTGTAGGTAGATCTAAGGGTAGACATAAAAGATGCTAATCTAATGGTAGAAGACTAACAAAAAATAAATAAAAAATAAAAATTAAGACTAACTCTTTTACTTAATAGAAGACTAACCAAAAATAAAATAAAAAATAAAAATTAAGACTAACTCTTTTACTTAATTTATATATATTATATAATTTATTAAATTATATATATATTATATATTATATATTATATAATTTATATAATATATTAAATTCAATTCGGGTTCGGGTTGCTCGGGTTGGCCATTGGTTCTGCCCAAGCCCGGCCCGAATTGCAATTCGAGCATCAAAATTTTGCCCAAGCCCGTCCAGATTGCAAGATATAGTTGCCCAAGCCCTAAAAAAACTCGGGCTGGGCTCGGATTGCTCGGGTTGAGCCCGCCCGAGTTGCACCCCTAGTTTTGGATGAGAAGAAGGGGAAGTCCTAAACGAATGGACTTATAAACACGTTTAATTATGTGCTCTAGAATACAAAAGGATGTCGAATAAAATTGTGAAAATTTAAAAATTAAAATAGGTTAGAACCTAGGTAAATTATTTATAAGTTTTATTTGGAAGATTTATACAAGATATGATTCTGTGAAAAAATTTATAACCTAATAGGTTCTATGATTTTCTTGTGGACATATCTACCTCTAATCTTAATTAATTAATAATCTGATTAATAATAATACCATATATGAGAAAATTCAATGTTACCATATAGATATGGGATTCAATCCACATAGCGTGACTTCAACATCGAGTAATGGGATTTAATCCACATTCAATTACAAACCTAAATCCCAAATAATTTTGCGCAACGTACTGTGACATGAATGTAAATACTGATTATAATAAAGACATGATATACATTCAAACACATATACAACCGAACAAACACACAAATGTCATCTACTACATGGTGTATGTGAATTAACGTTACATACTAAATGTAACAAGCATCGTAACATAATCATCTAGGTCTCAATGTACAATTGCTATCCTACGACGTGATTCATATTCGATATCCAATTAACAACCAAAATCAAACACCCCCAACCCAACCCATGAACCCATATATACCACCCCACATATCGAACATATCAAAATGTATTAACCATTATAATGTCAAATACACACATTCAATCAGAACATTGGCCAAAGTGTGCCTATCAATGAGTTTAATAGATTGTCAATACCCTATTAAAGATGAACAATCCACACTTCAACAAACAACAACACACTTAAACAAAATAAAAAATAAAATAAAACATACATCTTCCTCTCAACCAATTAGAGTCGAAATTTGTCGAAAGAATCAACGCACAACCCTCAAACTTTATCTTATCATTGACCATATCCATATTCATTTAAGCAACATTTTGAAAATGCATTGGAATCCCGCGATCAAGACGAAAAAAAGTCGCATGGTCCTTGCCTGTAGACTTGTCTTTCCTAAAAACCTTTCCAAACGTGATATGACGAATGAGAAAATAAAGTACAATATGAAAACAAATTAGGGGTATAATAGTATACTAATATCATTCATTTACAACTAGTAAGACTTTATGAAACACATTCCTATTTAAATAGGATTTCAAATTTTAAAAGAATATTTATAGGATTTCACATTAAATAAGTCTTCCAAATAAGACTGATAAATAATTTTTCTTTTTAGTTTTGGACAATTACTTACTTTTCTCCCCTATATATTGTAATTTTGTTCATTTTAAGTGCATGATATTTTCATTAATATACTTTGAGCTGCACTATGAAAGAAGCATCATCTGAAAATCAAGTAAGACTTCTTGAAAATCTTATAATTCATTTATTTTTTGTATTATATTTTATGTTTGGTTTGTGTACTTTACATGTATATATATATATATATATATATTTCTTTATTTTCTTTAAAAGTTTATTTTTAAAAATTAATAAATAAATAAATAAATCATTTTCTATTTTAAATAATTTTATTTTATTTTTATTTTTTCTTCAAGCAGTTTTAATCTAAAATGTAGTCACCAAAGGAGAACTAATTATTTGTTGATTAGGCGTACCACCAACGTGAAATTCCTAACAAATAGGATAATTACTTCTATTTAAGGCCCCGGCCTGCTGTAAGCCATTTGTTTGTTTTATTTTATGTTTTTGTTTCTTAAAATTTTAAAACTTGAAATAAAAAATGTTCGGTAATTATTTTTGTTTCAAAAAATGATATTTGAGGTAATAAATATGCGTTTACTGGTTTTAAAAATAAATTTTTATTTCCTCTTCCTCTCCCACCTACCCTTTCACACTATGTTTGGTAACCTTTTTTTTTTTTTTTTCGAAGGAAAGATGAGATGGATTTATATATGTATGTCTCTTAAACATACTACAAAAAACGACTAAAATGCAGCATGTAGGGATGCTGATTTAGCCACCAAATGTGCCTGATGAATCGACTGTCTTGGCATCTTTGTGATACAAACATAGTCCATACGCTTACAGAAATTACAAATATCCAAAATAACATAGTTCGCATTCCATTCACCAGCTTTACTATTTCTAATGCGGTTAAATAATATAGACTGTCAATGAGGATAGCAGCCGTCTTAACATTGTGTGACACGCACCATCGCACAGCTTCTAAGCATGCACGAGCTTCAGCCGTCAATGCTGATGATGCAAAATCAATTTACGTTGAAATATAATATTTATTTGTAGATAAAACTTGACTCCAATTTTCACCATCATTAGTCTTGTAGAAAGAATCCTTATGAATGAGACAATCATCATTCTCAATACCCAGAAGAAGTGTAGTGATCAGAACCATTGCCTGAAGAAACTTGTCATCCACCAGGTCACAAATAATCCACATTTTCACATTCAATCCAATGCACTCACATATCCAAATAGAAACTATCATGCAAAAATATAATATTTCTTTTGCAGATCATTCAATTTCCCCGTGGAAGAAATTCATGTTTAGTCCTAAGAATCAAAAAGTTCAAAACACAAAAATATACACGAGGCTGCCCTGAAGCCACTCCCTTTAAAATGGAAACCTTTTAACATGTACAAACACGTGTAAAGATCCACAATTTTTGTAGTCGTGAGCCTTGCTTGTAACGAAATTGGATTTGAACCACCAGTCATCATAAAGTTTAAACCCTAGGGGACAAGAGCACAGGCTGTTCATTGGAAGAAACACCAGAGTTTAATGGTTTCTTGAACTGAACCAAGATCATGGTCATGTTGTCGCATCCCTCACCACCTGCTGACGGTGCCAGACACCTATCAAGCACCCTCTCACACACCACAGAAAGCTTTGTCTCCTGCATAATTTATAAGAGTTTTATGTTTAACCTCTATAAAAATGTCAATGATTTTTATAAAAGAAAAGGTTTCAAGAGCTTACAGCATTCAACTGGTGTTGTACATAGTCCACTACTTGCTGGCTTGACATGCAATCCCTAGACACAATCATAAGGAAGAAAACTGATGTCATCCAATCATTTCCAAAGGCCCAATGAAATTGTAGAAAGTAAACAAGTACTCAAACTAGAGTATTTCACGTATCAGACAACTAAATCATAATGACTAATTCAGAAGAATTTGGTTGGCATCTGCTGACATGTCTTTTTTTCCTTTTGGGTAAATAACTGCTGACATGTCATACACAACAGGAATCCTATTTCTTAATAAATAGCCAACTGGGTAAATCAAAGTCAATACCAACTTTAGCAGTTCACTTATATCATATGTTTCACCTTCTATACAGTCTTGACCTTTTTCCACCACTAATAATAGAGTGAAATAATTGGTTCACAAACACAGTTGGTTTCAGTGCTTTAGATTATGGTTAAAAGAGTGTGAAGTCAGACAAATTGTACTCAGAAGGTTGAAAGCCAGCAAAACAAAGGGGAAAATAAAAAATTCAAAATCTCATGAATTTTTAAGCAGGTTGAATTATAGTAGAATTTCAAAGAATCAAGTCTCCAGTGAGTCCTCTCTTCCAGAAAAGGGGTCGAATGCACCTATCACAGGGAATAGGAACCGTTGAGGAGTCGGATTGAAGGTGCATACAAGAAAGTATCACTTTTGAGGGTTTTCTAGGTTTAAAGGAGATGAGAGTGGGTGTGGGGGGAGCAGATGTAGTGATCAGCACGGTGATTGCAATGGTGCAGTAAGCCACAGAAGGTACAGTTCTATGGCTATGGTAGTGAGGAAGGAGGGGTCTGTTAGTGTGAACAGGAAGCTTTCAAGCTACCTCTTGTTTGTCTGAGAGTTGACCCCTTGCCAAAGAGAAATAATGGTAAGGGCAGTCCGAGGTCCCCCAATCCTCCTAACTTGTAAGAGGCTGAAGCAGCTGTAATTATTCAGGCTGTGTATCTCATGGATTTGAGATGAGGAAATGGAAAAAATAGAAAATTGAAGCAAATGGCTAACATGAGGGAGCAGGTGGCCAAGATCAGAAGCCATTTGAAGGTCTAGAGTATTTCCTGATATCAGCAGTGGCAACAGGCAAAGGGAGGTAATCGGAAAAATTATGACGGACCTTCTGCTTAAACTGGACACCATTCAGGGTATGCACGCATCTGTCAGAGACTTAAGTAAATCAGTGCCAAAAGAGCTTGTGAGTCTGCCAGGAGTAGCTTGATTCTCTAACTGGGCAGGAGAGGCAAAGGGGGTTTCAGTTGATAAGGGTGAAATAAAGATTTGAAGTCAAGGGAAGGCTCACCCTGAAGGGGGGAAAGATGTTGCTTGCCCTTTCTGAATTGGATGAAGGGGCTGAGGCATGGGGAATGAAAATGTTACAAGTTTCATATTATGGGATTTGGGGATTTAGTTTTGAAGTTGCTAATGGAAATCAAAGCCAAAATGAGGATAGAGAGGGATGGGTATGGCTGCAAGATGGAGTGCGGCAAGCAAAGCTAGATCCCAGGTTGATCAGTCTCAGCTACATTTATCTATTTTTGTAGCAAACTTTCGACCGCATAAAAAGACTAGTGGGCTGTCAATAGAATGATAGAACCAATCTTCTTAATAAACTCAGCAATCCATTAGTAAAATGAAAATTGAATGAAAGGTTCATCTTCAGAAATTCAATTGCTATCATAAGTGCCATAAAAACCATCCCTCGTATAAAATCTATAAATAAATTCCTTTCTTGTCCACTCATATCGGTTTAAAGTGGCCTACTCAAGCCCAAAATTTATATTGAATTCATTAAATATTGACACCCCTGTGCCAATAAAAAAAAAAATAATTTAGTGTTCTTCACTAGGAGTCTAAAATGCTCTACTGGAAGTATTAAAGTAGGGCCCAAGTGGCAAGCAAAAGCCACAACTCTAGTAATGTAACATGGCCAATGTTTCTTCATTAGGTTGATTTCTAGTTTCTTGTAATAAAATGGGGGTGTTTGTTTGGGTTTTTTTTTAGCCAACTTATAACTTCTAGCTTCAAAAAAGCTATTTTGGACTGTTTGGTTAAACTTATTTCAAACAGGTTCTAATTCTAACAACTTATTTTAACTCGAAAAAGCTGATTTTAAGAAGCTACTCACCCCTTACTTTTGATTATCAACTTCTGCTGTGAGCATGTTAATTTACGGTTATAATCATAGATTTTTTTATTTTTTATTTTTTTAAAAAATAGAAAAATACCCAAATGGACTATAGATTTTTATTATTATTTTTTATGAGAAATGTAGACAAGTAGTGAATAACAAAAAATAAAAGTTACTTCACAGCTTATTTAACAAACACTACTCAACAACTTAAATCTATAATCCAACAGCTATACCAAACAGATTAACAGCTTCTGATTAAACCCCTGTGCCAATCAAAAAAAGAAAAAAAAAATTAGTGCTCTTCACTAGGAGTCTAAAATACTCTACTGGAAGGATTAAAGCAGGGCCCAAGTGGCAAGCAAAAGCCACAACTCTAGTAATGTAACATATGGTCAATGTTTCTTCATTAGGTTGATTTCTAGTTTCTTGTAATACAATGCTTATGACTTATGAGCTCTACTCACTTCTAAACAAAAGTATTAAATCCAATGAACTCCCCAAAGAACTTATGGCTGAAGCTTTATGAAGAACATCTGTAACTAACTAATTATCGAAAAAAATAAGATTAAGAAGGGAAGAGGCAACACAAATAAGAGACTTACCATATACCATCACACGCTATCACGAGAAATTCATCGTCATCACAAAGCTCCACCTAGTTCAAGCAGATTAAAATATGATATAAGACAATACAATATTTATCAATGGGAAAAAAAATCAAGGATATGAAGAAAAAACCATAAATGAAAAATCAAACAGCTGAAGATAAATTATCCGGGATATTTGCATACAGAAAAGTGTATATCTTGTGAGTGAGAAATAAGAAAACATCATACTTTAACAGCTATAACTCTAAAATTAGTCCATATATCAGAGTAAAATTCATATAACATCCTAAAATTTATGACTCAACTTTATTTTTAATGTTTGAGTCTTTGACTAGCCCATATAGCTAAAACATGATATAAAAGTGTAGACGCAACAGCTAAAACATGATATAAATGTAGATGCTACATACCGTATTTACATCAGGATTGGCAGTCACAATTTGCTTCTCAGCAGGCAGTGATTTGTTCTGCTTCAATTCCATGTCTCCTGAAATCCATGAAAAAAGATGAGCAAAAGCAAACAAAAGAATACAATCTTGACTTGAGAAACACGGATACTTCTAGTAAGGTAGTGTGTTGTGTCCGACACCAACACTCATGGGACTTGTCAAACACACCTCAAAACATGCCCCATTATTTTTTAAAAATTTTCTAGACTCAGACAAGCTGTAGACACTTGGAGAACATGTGCACATTGCTTAGGCACGCCCCTAGGCCCAAGGTTTGCGCCTTGTAGTGTTCCAGGCTAGGCGACTTCGATAAGGCGCACCCAGGCGTGCGCTTAGGCCCAAGTCCCAATCCAAGCCCAAGGTTTGTGCCTTGTAGTATTCCAGGCCAAGTGACTTCGATAGCACCTGACTGGCCTAAAGCTTGCGTCTTGAGGGCCTTCTTTTATTTTTGCTTTAATTGGTTTTGTTTAAAATCTGACCATTGATTTAATATGGTGTAGCTACAGAAGATCCCTACTCTTATTACAGATGCCAATACATTGGGCATTCAACCCCAAATCAATGATAGAAGAAAAATTAGCTCTAATTCCTTATCTTCAAAAAATACTAAATGTTTAACATTTCATTTTATTTATGTTGCACCCCAAATTATTTACTTATATTATATTATATATTTTTTTCCGTACAAGGTGCGCCTCACTTTGGTGAAGCTTGCGCCTCGCCTTGCGCCTAGGCCCCAGGAGACCTTGGCGCCTTGGTGCGCCTATCGCCTTTAATAACACTGGGCACACATGAAATACAATACAAGTTTGAATAAAGTAACTTGAAATCCAATGATAAAAGAAAAACAATGTAGCTTTATTAGAAATTAGTGTAACATATGTTAGTCTTTGAATTAAATAGCATTATATGTGACATAGAATAAGTTCTTATCCTTACATATGAGATATAAATAACTACGTTGTGCATGTCCCACATGTCATATCCTACATTTTTTTTTTGAAAATTTACATGTCTATGGACCATGTCCGTGTCTGTCATTCTTAGATCTCTACTATGTTCATGCTTACACAGAAAATAGAGAGACGAAATACCAATTGCTCTTGCCAAGTTTAGACTTCCATTGACCCGTCCATATTGGACAAAACCACCAGCCTTCACAATCCTATCCTTCTCAGCCTCGAGGTCAGGCTTGTGGTCTCTAGACAAATTATATGCCTGCATAAAAAGGCAGCAATCAAAAGTGCTCATGCATGTCAAAATAAAGATCAACAATGCTACATTTTAGATTTGACATGGCACTTAAAATCCAAAAAAAAGGTCTTAACCATCCATTCCAAAACAAGAAGTACTCCATTGTCCCATAGGTACATGAATGTTAAATGGCTTCTGATAGATAATCCACAATCAAACAACAATTACTTTTTTCAATAGATCCAAAAGAAACATAAACAGCTCACAAACTAGATCATATAATCAATGACTTCCAATATAAAAAACATGAATGAAGGGTTGTAAATAAAAACTTGCTTTTTAAGCAATCAGAGTAAATAGTACTTTGAAACTCCAGGGAAAAGAAAAGGCAAGAGAAAAATGGTCACCTGACCCTTTCGAGATATTACACAACGGGAATCACCAGCATTTGCAACAAAAAGTTGGTTGTTCCGAATGATTGCAACACAAGCTGTGCTTCCAGAAGTTGGTCCATGGAAATCAGAGTGGGGTCCCTAGTTTATGGACATTTAATGAGAGCCTTCATTGCATAATATTATAGGAAGTACACTAAAGAGAAAAAAACATAAATGAGTGACCCTTTTTTCCGGGAAAGATCAGTTGGAACAATTACTTTTTGAAGGTAAACATAGTGATTCAGTATCATCTCCAAAAGATCATTGCAAATTATAGCATAAGCATCCTAGAAAAGAAAACCAGATATAGCAAAGAAGAAACATCCAAGTGGAATTCCCGTCTTCTCCTACAAGTCATTTGTGCGTAATTAGTCAAGTGTGTCAAGTTTCGTTGACATCTGACGCCGTTTGAGCATTTTAGTGTGTCAACCAATTCGAAAAATAGTTTCTAAAGAATAAATTTTCATAAATGGAAATTAGGCTCTATATTCAAAACCGGAAAACAGTTTCAAGTCCCGTCTTCTCCTACAAGTCATTTGTGCGTAATTAGTCAAGTGTGTCAAGTTTCGTTGACATCTGACGCCGTTTGAGCATTTTAGTGTGTCAACCAATTCGAAAAATAGTTTCTAAAGAATAAATTTTCATAAATGGAAATTAGGCTCTATATTCAAAACCGGAAAACAGTTTCAAGTCCCGTCTTCTCCTACAAGTCATTTGTGCGTAATTAGTCAAGTGTGTCAAGTTTCGTTGACATCTGACGCCGTTTGAGCATTTTAGTGTGTCAACCAATTCGAAAAATAGTTTCTAAAGAATAAATTTTCATAAATGGAAATTAGGCTCTATATTCAAAACCGGAAAACAGTTTCAAGTCCCGTCTTCTCCTACAAGTCATTTGTGCGTAATTAGTCAAGTGTGTCAAGTTTCGTTGACATCTGACGCCGTTTGAGCATTTTAGTGTGTCAACCCGTTCAAGTTTTCACAAACGAAAATTTGGCTCCGGATTCAAAATCAGGAATCATCGAGTCTTATCTTTTCCTACAAGTTATTTGTGCCTAGTTAGTCGTGTGTGTCAAGTTTTGTTGACATCCAACGCCGTTTTGACCATTTTAGTGAGTCAACCGAATCAAAAAAAAGAAAACCCAAGAATAAGTTTTCATAAACAAAAATTAGGCTCCAGATTCAAAACCGGAAAACGGTTTCAAGTCATGCCTTCTCCTACAAGTCATTTGTGCCTAATTAGTCAAGGGTGTCAAGTTTCGTTGACATCTGATGCCGTTTGAGCATTTTAGTGTGTCAACCAATTCGAAAAATAGTTTCTAAAGAATAAATTTTCATAAATGGAAATTAGGCTCTATATTCAAAACCGGAAAACAGTTTCAAGTCCCGTCTTCTCCTACAAGTCATTTGTGCGTAATTAGTCAAGTGTGTCAAGTTTCGTTGACATCTGACGCCGTTTGAGCATTTTAGTGTGTTAACCCGTTCAAGTTTTCACAAACGAAAATTTGGCTCCAGATTCAAAATCGGGAATCATCGAGTACTATCTTTTCCTGCAAGTTATTTGTGCCTAGTTAGTCGTGTGTGTCAAGTTTTGTTGACATCCAACACCATTTGAACATTTTAGTGAGTCAACCGGTTCATATTATGCAGAAGAAAACAATAGTTTAAAAAAATATTGAAAATACCTGGCCAGTCTTGCTAATTTTGTGTGGAACTCTCATTGGAGTCTTTCAATGGCCCATCTACATTCAGGTACACTTGTAGCTCTTTCTTTGCAGATTGATATAGGCACTCCAACCCAGCCTCAGCCTCAGTCTCATCCTCCTTCATATCTAAAGCACAATAGAAATTAGTGTCTCTAAACAAAGAACGAATAATAAGACTACTTTTGCAATGGATCAAAATGCCATACCTTGCAAGTACAAGGAACTGCCTCGTCGTATGTTCATAAGCATATATTCAACTATCTACAAACACAATAAATGGTATGAAAGAAAGTAACAGCTCATGAAATCAATTCCACAATGAAAGCTTTGAATAGCACCCTGAAGGGGGGAAAGATGTTGCCTGCCCTTTCTGAATTGGATGAAGGGGCTGAGACATGGGGAATGAAAATGTTTAATTGACTTTCACGAGTTTCATATTATGGGATTTGGGGATTTAGTTTTGAAGTTGCTAATGGAAATCAAAGCAAAAATGAGGATAGAAAGGGATGGGTATGGCTGCAAGATGTAGTGCAGCAAGCAAAGCTAGATCCCAGGTTGATCAGTCTCAGCTACATTTATCTATTTTTGTAGCAAACTTTCGACCGCATAAAAAGACTAGTGGGCTGTCAATAGAATGATAGAACCAATCTTCTTAATACACTCGGTAATCCATTAGTAAAATGAAAATTGAATGAAAGGTTCATCTTCATTATATGGCCAAATGAATTCAAGCAGAGCTTCTTTTTGGGCATAGTAGAATGACAAAGGGACCAAAAAAGTCAGAAATTCAATTGCTATCATAAGTGCCATAAAAACCATCCCTTGTATAAAATCTATATATAAATTCCTTTCTTGTCCACTCATATCTGTTTAAAGTGGCCTACTCAAGCCCAAAATTTATATTGAATTCATTAAATATTGACACCCCTGTGCCAATCAAAAAAAGAAAAAAAAAATTAGTGCTCTTCACTAGGAGTCTAAAATACTCTACTGGAAGGATTAAAGCAGGGCCCAAGTGGCAAGCAAAAGCCACAACTCTAGTAATGTAACATATGGTCAATGTTTCTTCATTAGGTTGATTTCTAGTTTCTTGTAATACAATGCTTATGACTTATGAGCTCTACTCACTTCTAAACAAAAGTATTAAATCCAATGAACTCCCCAAAGAACTTATGGCTGAAGCTTTATGAAAAACATCTGTAACTAACTAATTATCGAAAAAACTAATACGATTAAGAAGGGAAGAGGCAACACAAATAAGAGACTTACCATATACCATCACACGCTATTACAAGAAATTCATCGTCATCGCAAAGCTCCACCTAGTTCAACCAGATTAAAATATGATATAAGACAATACAATATTTATCAATGGGAAAAAAAATCAAGGATATGAAGAAAAAACCATAAATGAAAAATCAAACAGCTGAAGATAAATTATCCGGGATATTTGCATACAGAAAAGTGTATATCTCGTGAGTGAGAAATAAGAAAATATCATATTTTAACAGCTATAACTCTAAAATTAGTCCATACATCAGAGTAAAATTCATATAACATCCTAAAATTTATGACTCAACTTTATTTTCAATGTTTGAGTCTTTGACTAGCCCATATAGCTAAAACATGATATAAAAGTGTAGACGCAACAGCTAAAACATGATATAAATGTAGATGCTACATACCGTATTTACATCAGGATTGGCAGTCACAATTTGCTTCTCAGCAGGCAGTGATTTGTTCTGCTTCAATTCCATGTCTCCTGAAATCCATGAAAAAAGATGAGCAAAAGCAAACAAAAGAATACAATCTTGACTTGAGAAACACGGATACTTCTAGTAAGGTAGTGTGTTGTGTCCGACACCAACACTCATGGGACTTGTCAAACACACCTCAAAACATGCCCTATTATTTTTTAAAAATTTTCTAGACTCAGACAAGCTGTAGACACTTGGAGAACACGTGCACATTGCTTAGGCACGCCCCTAGGCCCAAGGTTTGCGCCTTGTAGTGTTCCAGGCTAGGCGACTTCGATAAGGCGCACCCAGGCGTGCGCTTAGGCCCAAGTCCCATCCAAGCCCAAGGTTTGTGCCTTGTAGTGTTCCAGGCCAAGTGACTTCGATAGCACCTGACTGGCCTAAAGCTTGCGTCTTGAGGACCTTTTTTATTTTTGCTTTAATTGGTTTTGTTTAAAATCTGACCATTGATTTAATATGGTGTAGCTGCAGAAGATCCCTACTCTTATTACAAATGCCAATACATTGGGCATTCAATCCCAAATCAATGATAGAAGAAAAATTAACTCTAATTCCTTATCTTCAAAAAATACTAAATGTTTAACATTTCATTTTATTTATGTTACACCCCAAATTATTTACTTATATTATATTATATTTTTTTCTCGTACAAGGTGCGCCTCACTTGGGGAAGTCTGCGCCTCGCCTTGCACCTTGAGCCTAGGCCCCAGGAGACCTTGGCGCCTTGGTGCGCCTATCGCCTTTAATAACACTGGGCACACATGAAATACAATACAAGTTTGAATAAAGTAACTTGAAATCCAATGATAAAAGAAAAACAATGTAACTTTATTAGAAATTAGTGTAACATATGTTAGTCTTTGAATTAAATAGCATTATATGTGACATAGAATAAGTTCTTATCCTTACATATGAGATATAAATAACTACATTGTGCATGTCCCACATGTCATCCTACATTTTTTTTTTGAAAATTTACATGTCTATGGATCATGTCCGTGTCTGTCATTCTTAGATCTCTACTTTGTTCATGCTTACACAGAAAATAGAGAGACGAAATACCAATTGCTCTTGCTAAGTTTAGACTTCCATTGACCCGTCCATATTGGACAAAACCACCAGCCTTCACAATCCTATCCTTCTCAGCCTCGAGGTCAGGCTTGTGGTCTCTAGACAAATTATATGCCTGCATAAAAAGGCAGCAATCAAAAGTGCTCATGCATGTCAAAATAAAGATCAACAATGCTACATTTTAGATTTGATAGATAATCCACAATCAAACAACAATTACTTTTTTCAATAGATCCAAAAGAAACATAAACAGCTCCCAAACTAGATCATATAATCAATGACTTCCAATATAAAAAACATGAATGAAGGGTTGTAAATAAAAACTTGCTTTTTAAGCAATCAGAGTAAATAGTACTTTGAAACTCTAGGGAAAAGAATAGGCAAGAGAAAAATGGTCACCTGACCCTTTCGAGATATTACACAACGGGAATCACCAGCATTTGCAACAAAAAGTTGGTTGTTCCGAATGATTGCAACACAAGCTGTGCTTCCAGAAGTTGGTCCATGGAAATCAGAGTGGGGTCCCTAGTTCATGGACATTTAATGAGAGCCTTCATTGCATAATATTATAGGAAGTACACTAAAGAGAAAAAACATAAATGAGTGACCCTTTTTTCCGGGCAAGATCAGTTGGAACAATTACTTTTTTAAGGTAAACATAGTGATTGAGTATCATCTCCAAAAGATCATTGCAATGAAGTCAGCAACATAACACAAAAAATAAAAAAATAAAAATAAATAACAATAATTAATAAAAGGAGCCTTCATTGCCAGTTCATTGAGGTTTGCTAATTTTTAAGGTTAAATGATCCCTCTGTCCCACAATGTGTCCCATTTGGGAGTTCCGACTTTTTATGGGAACATGCAATTAATGCACTTAAATTCAAATTAAAAAATTGAATTCCAACATTGACCTTTTACGCATAAGGCCAATCATAGGATGGCAAGTCAATAAACATAAATGTCTTTTTACCTCGAAAAACCAAATGCACAAAACAACAGTGACATCAAGATCTTTTTGACAAGCATATGCATTGAAAATGATAGAAAAATATTTTTCATAAGCAAAGCAAGATAATATCATTAAAGAAAGCACCAAAAGGGGAGCAACCTTGTATACAGAGCAAATGAACAACAAAACATTATTGCAAAAACACGAGCATATTGACCCAAGTTTTTAAAGACGAACGAGTAACTCGCGATGTTTTATCTCTTGAGAGGCGAGGTGCAAGTCTCGGGGGGTTGATGCATAAGCATTTCGACTTTTGAATCTAAATTATTTATTAGACAAATAAAAATTTTAAAATTAATAATAAATATTAAAAAATCAAATATAAAGGTGTCAATACTTTTCTCCTCAAGGCGTTGAACATTTCACTATAAAAAAGGAAACTTGCCCTCATCGATGGTGAAATCAACACTCTTAGTTTCAGACTTAAGTTATCGAGCTTTTCACTTGAGCCTTTGCTTTAAGTTTTTTCTTGCTTGGTCATTTACTTGACTTTTTCCATGGAATATAATTACAAAAGGTGTTCCTCTTCTTCATCTTTTTTATTTTTTTTATTATTATTTTTAAATCATGTGTTAAACTAAGTTCAACAAAAGGCCAAGATAATCTCTGAATATGCGTATTCCTCATATGCTTATACGCAAAAGGCGTGCAAGGCGCACCTGAGGCACTTGCTTTAGACTGTGATGCACAAACCTTTAGGGAGTATTGTCTACAAAACAAAACCTCGATGAATTTTGCCTTGGCCTCACCTCAAGGCGAGCATCAATCAGACCTTTGAAATTTTTCATATGAACGTTATTTGATTTGTTGCAAGTAAATACCTCCTCAGATGGCCAGTCATTAACGTGGCCATTAGCTTCACCACCCCTTGGGGACCATATTAAACCTTCTATCATACTACCAACTTTGTTCATTTTATCTCCCAATATGGCTAATTCTCTCCAACCTCTTTGTCCACACATCATCTCATCCATTCTGCATCCAGAAATACAACAATTAGAATCACAAAAAACAATAGCAAACAACTACAAGTCAAGGATTGTATATTCAACCCTACTCAATCCTCACACCCATCCTAATTGGGCCCTTTTGCAGTATAAGGCTTGAAAAGTTTACTGGCAAAGAAGCTGAATGCTTCCAATATCAATGATGAAAACAATGCACACCATTAGTACATACAGTGTACTTAAAAAATAATAACTAAATAATAATTCTTGTACTTTTATATATCAAATCTGGAACATGTACATCTACAGGTCCCATGAAGAAATTTGTAAAATTAAAAAATGATGAGAATCACTATGAAATCACAAAATTTCAGAATAAGAGCATTTCAGGTAATGCAGTAGTTGAACAATGACATTCTATGGGCATCAATATACTTGCTAGTTGCCATGCTAGCCATGATAAAACCACATTTGAGTTCCAGATTTCCATGCCGAGAAGAACATTTAACTTACAGGTGAATGACACCTTCCCTTGCCTGTCCCATATATGCTTTGGACTATAATTACATTGTGGCACCCACTGAATATGTTAAATGAACAAATGTACTAACAGGATGAAGTGACCTGAGAAAAGATTTTTGAAGAGAAGTGCCTAAATCCCCAGCCAAATAGGCTTCATGCTTGAGAACCTGTTGGTGAAGATACTTGGCACAGAACTTTGAAACCACCTTACCTGCAAAAAGATAAACTTCTATTAGGACAAAACATGGTGCATATTTTAAAAAATGCAAAGAAAAGGGGAGGAAAAGAAAAAAGAAAAAGAAAAAGAATCCCAGTAAAGGGAAACATGAAAATTAATTCAAAGTTACAGCATAGATGACAAAAGGGCCAATAGTGGGACCTTCACCACCGCTTCACAACGTCAGGTGTGATGAAAACATATTCTACAAATCAATAACTGGGCCTCAACCATCATTATTGGGTGGCAAAATTGACACTCCTACAAGAAAGAGTTTTATTTTTGCTGTGACTTAATCAAATCAAGTCTCAACTCCAAAGAGAGAAAATGCAATCTTAAGACTGAGGATGGTGGCAGGAACCAACATATTCAAAAAAATATCTCATAAGCATTCGTAAAGTTAAAGTAGCTAAGCAGCAATGAACATCTACAGGTTCTACCCCACACAATATGGTGTTCTAAGTTAAAAGAAAATACAAGAAAAAAATGATGAGGCACATAACAATTTAAATGTCATTACCATTGACTAATATATGGGTCTTTTAACCTGAGGTCAGAGAGTTGCTTCACCTCTTGCCCCAAACTATGTAAGGAAAGTCACACCACCTAAGGTTGTTATTAGATACATGCAGTTAGCAGGAAGAAATATTTCATAAAAAGTGCCAGATGTCACCCTTAACATTGCAATAAAGGAAGAAAAATCTAATGCATGGGATCTTCAAGAAGAAGAACTACATTTGTAGGAAGCTTTACAAGTTGCACCTATGAATTACTTGAATATTTTTAAATTTAGAACCATAGTTGTCAACTCGAGAATTGTATTGTGAATCGAATTCTAATTTTGTGAATCTTGAATCTAATCAAATTGAGAATCGTTAAGATTCGGTACAAATTATTAAAAATGATGTTAAACAATAGTATATATGAAAAAGAATGAAACATAGTGATTTTGACATATGTTATAAAATAGTTCATATAAAGGACTTTATTACATTGTCTAATTGGGAAGGCAATGCTTTCATAGCAAAAGATGTGGATCCAAATCTCATCACCCTATATAGTGTATAATAATAAGAAGAATTAAGTGGAACATTTTATTTTAAAAACTAAACAACACTCTAAAAGATGTGCGTGCATATTGTTGGGGGAAAAAAAAAAAAATTTTAAAATACAGTTGGGGAACCATTGAGTTTGACTGATTTGACCCATGTAATATTGAACCATATTTATTTCACTAAAATAACAAAAGATTATTCATGATTGTAATTAAGCAACTTTAAAAGATGTATTATAACATAAAAGGGAAAAAGTTTAAAACATATTAGGTCTGACAGGATCTGTATGGATATTAAAAACCCTTTGATCACCAAAATAACAACAAAACAAGCGTAAGTACTGGCTGTTTTCATACTTTAAACACTCTTGGAAGTAGTATTATGTTATTTTCACTAACAAAAAGGTATTAAAAAAAGGAAAAAGAAAAAGATCATAATGTCGGATACTATAGTCTCGTGAATAGCATGAATCGTAAAAAGTGAATCAAACCGTGAATCGTGCAATTTACCGTAGATTCTATCCAAAATAGATTTATCTATAGATTCGTATGGATCTATGACACATCACTAATCGAATCAAGAATCATAGTATTTTGATAACAGAGTTTAGAACTAATAAGAATTGAGACCTATGAATTACTTGAAAGTACTGCAATAGCATTTCTTTGTATGTCAATGACAGAAAACATATCACATGGACAACTGTTACCAGTGAGAAGTTGGAAACGAAAATCCAAATAAGAAACTTCCTTGCTCTAATTCTTGGATAATGATGCTTACAGGTCATGGTGGTACATGCCTTTTGGCACTGAGTTCCACCAACCTTATATTAAAACATGGAATAAAAGATGCACCTAGACCTCATGAAATTAGCAATTTTTCACATAAGCTATGTGAAATTTGGCTTCCTTTTTTTTTTTTTGGTTGATAAATATGTGAAATTTGGCACATTGAGCTGCGGCATCAAAGCATTTTTGCTCCACAAAAAATTAGCAACAATATATATAGCTCAATTGAAAACCAACAAGGAGTATTGGTTGAAATGCCAAATAACAGTAATAGTAAAGCAACTTTACAATCCTATTCATGGAAATCCCATAACAAGCATAACATAACGCAAGAAGTTGGTAATCAATGGTGTTTGATAACTGTTTTGTGTTTGTGTGTGACAACTAAACTCCTTCAAGGAAGTATCATGCATGTAGTAGTATCTTTTATTATAAGATACAATTGGCATCGTCATAAAACCCTCAAACCTTGGCACATAAGGATCATAATAATTTCAAATTGATGTCCTATTCTAAATTTCTAATACCGATACTGCAGGTTATGCAACTGAGGGTCATTAAAGAAATATGCTAAAAGTTAATTGGCCAACAAAAAATAGAAAACCTTACAATAAGAAGGTGCTAAAAATGTAAGAATGAACCATGGAACTCAATTCAATACCTCAATATAAATAATACAGAAACAGTGCAATGAATTGAAAAGAGGTATGCTCATATTGCTTACCTCCATGGCCATCATAAACACCAAAGAAAGACGTGGATGTGTCCAAATCCAGATGAGCTGCATGCTTTAGATTTAGAACACAAGAACACCTCATATAAGTACAGCACATAATCAGCTAAATAACAAATTAAACAAAAATTTAATCAGAATGCCACTGATTTTCCCTCCTCTACCCCATGAAACCTTTAATGTAGAATGCAAGGCTTAACAAACTACTTTCAAGGTAAAATAAGAGTAATATGTTATGGATATTCATCAAAAAGGTCAAGCCAATGGTTTCACAGTTAATGTGATTGTGATTCTATGTTGTTGTTAAGATAGATGATCATGAAAGGTTATATAGAGAATAAAAGGGATAACAAATTACTTTATTCTGATCTAAAGCAATAATTTATGGTAATCATGTACCAACTCAACGGTTACGCATATTACACATGATTTTGTCATGCTCTCAACCATGATTTAGAACTGCTAACAAACAAACCACAACAAAACCAAATTTATTAATGTTGCCATGAACAAGCATCATAAAGTTTTGATTGCAAATATAATTTCAACATTTCATATAAAAAATGTAACTTATCAGAAGACAGAAAGCACTTCTTTCACTGATAAATGAACTATATCTTCTTAATACCTCCACAAATGTCAAACTCAGCTTCTCTAATTCTTTTTTTTTTTTTTTCCAAGTCTTTAATACTTCTAATTTTAACTGAAAAGGCTCACATGTCCCAACAGCTGCACTCCATAATCTTCTTTGCGCAAAACCAAACCATTACAATTTCCCCTACAATATGTCAAAGACTAGGGCTGATTTTAGGAATATCCAAACAAATTTTATTCTAATATCATGAATTGAACAAAGCCAGCAACAGGAAATGGATTTATATAGATGACATCATGTAATTGATATAATGCTCTTGTTTATGAGTATTAGTTTTTGATGTCAGGTGACCAGCCTCGACATGTGTTAACCTCTGTCACACTTATTATGCGATCCCTTTTTGGTGGAAGCATCCTGATCTACATATTGAGTCTGATCACCTGATACCATATAAAACTTCTAGGCAACATCATAACATCTCTTTGAAAGCCTAATAGAAAATTCCCTCCATAACAACAAATAAACTGTTTATTTGTTTTATTCATACCACATTTACAATCTTTTAAACAAAAGCTGTCAGTTAAAAGTTAAGGGCCCCAATATACAAATTCATTGACTAATCTCTTCTCATTTTCCCTGTTCTTTCCAATTTCAACTTCCAGTAGAATAAAAATACAGAGAATTGCTATACTTAAGGTTACAGCCTTCATGGTTGGCATCCAGAGCCCCCTCTCACAGGGATGGGCGATGTTAAGGTTAAAGCTATGAATTTAACATTTCCCAAAGTAAACCATATGCACTATAATCAGCCAATAGAACCAAAAGACTACGTATTATCCTAATAATATTAATAATAAATGTATGAGGAAAAGCTCATAGTTTCATGAAGTTATATGGTATGAAAGTCTAATTAGAAACCAAGTCATGACAAGTCCGAAATGGAAACAGAAGTGAATTTTTTAATTTTTATTTTATTTTGGCCCAAATAAAAGGGTACCATAGATACTCACAGCATCTTCCATGGTTGAGCGCCACCCTTGCATGGATGACAAACCATATCTTAGTTTGTCATTCTCGCCATCTTCTGAGGCCTTCTCAGTTTTGGGGGTGCTCAGATATACCCCCATTTCTACCTGGAAACCAAACCTCAAAAAACTATCAGCTATAACATCATTTGCAAACATATAGATGTGCAAGGCTCATGCTTAGACACATGCAATGATGCATAAATATATACATATGGGCATGTATACACACACATCTAGACTATCTATCTATATAAAGCACACAACTCAAAACCTGAAGCCTTGTCATGCTTTTTGTTTTCTAAGAATGCCCATAAAATGTTAACTGCTAAAACTCCAATAACTAACTCTTAAACGGTTTTCAAATTTAACCCATCTTCCTCATTCATCAAACCACCCAAAGTTTAGATCTATAATTGCAAACGCATTGCATTGGCACCCACTATATATATATACTAAGAAGCACTGACACTACTAAAAAGGTGGCGTGTCTGTGGACACCGACATTTATTGGACACTTCCCGACACGTGTCTAACACTCGTCAAAATGTGTCCTATTTATAAAAAATAAAAAAAATAGACCCGGATACTCTTAGGGCACTTAGAGATACACATGTCTATCACTTAAATATACGTGTCCATCGATTAGACACACATGAAACTTATAACAAAATAACTTCATATTCAATAACAAAAGAAAAACAATACAAATTCATAAAAAATAAGTGTTATATTACATTTTTTTTTTGATTATCTTTGAATGATATATTTATATGACATATAATAAATATATAAAATTATATATTTTATACGTGTCCCCACGTAACATGTCTTTCATTTTCTAAAAATTGATGTGTTGGTGTGTCCATGTCCTTGCTTCATAGTGTGTATATATATATAATGATACAGTGAATCACCAACCAACACTTCATCAATCCAATTCCTCAACTACACTAACCATCACATATGGTCAATCAAACAAGCTTTTAACCAACTAATTGATTAATTTAAGGGGCACTTACCAATCAGTCATATTAACTAGACTTGACTTATTTACCTAAATGTCCAAACTATAAATTTATCACTATAAAAATAAGAGACTGATAAATTTATCGCCATAAATTTATTCATAAAAACAAGAGATTGATTATCACTTGATAAATATATCAATAGGACTTAATGGTAATAAATCTCAAAACCCCTTAATTTTTAACTCCACAAGTACACCAACTATCACATTAGACACCGGTTCACGAAAAACAACATCTAAACCAATTATGGAACAAGAAAATGAAATGCGAAAAACCAATTCTAGGGAAGTTCACATGTACTACAATTTCAAACAGACAAAAAGTGATATAAATACAAGTATGTGTAGTTGATGTATAACGAATTGCTAATTTTTTTTTTGGAAATTGGCAATCAAAAACAAACATGAAAAGCTTAAGATAAATAGAATGATGATTAGAGAATCAGATAATCAGATTGATACCCTATAAGGCATATCTGAACCAAGAAACCTAAATTTGGTAGCGAAGAATGAAAATCGTTTGAGAATCGTAAAAAGTATGAAGAAGATGATTATATAATGGGATTAGGAAGATGAAATGAAGGTAAAGGTGTGTGTAGGGTTTGTGATCCACTCACTTTGCCACGTTTCAAGTCCGCGCACACACACAGGTTTGAGTCCAGTGCGTGAAAGAGAGATTTTGATGAGGCGCGCAATGTAAGTTTGTTGAATGGGCGATACGGTTATCATTGGCCCTGTAGAGGCTGGGCCGCTCGATTCTGTCCTATCCAAGCCTGACACCCGGACTTGGTCTAGGCTTGGCCTGTTTTGCCAAAGTAATATAAAACAACAATGCTAGAGGGGTATAATTTTTGTGGTCACAATGTCTTAAAATTGTCAAAACGATGTCGTCTTAGCATGTTTTGCACTCAAAACGACGTTGTTTTGACAGTTTTGAGCCATTGTGGCCACAAAAATTGTGACCCTCAAACATTTTCCAATCTAAAATTCTATAAAAATTTCACCAAATATGTCACATGACGTGACGGTAGGACATATATAATGTAGGTTTGATATGAGTCCCACACCCCTTGAAATATTTAATAGAATTTTCTGTGAAATTTTTGAGGTTTGTAACATTTTTTGTTTGGCAAAAATGTATATAGAAAAAATCACAAATAGAAGGGAAAAAAAAGAACCTTCAATTTTGTAGAAAAAAAAACTATAGAATTTGATCATTTTAAGAAATCAACCTAAGTTTTAATTTTTTTAATTTAAATCTTATTGTTTTAATTTGATTTCTGTTTATATCTATTAAGGCCTCTATTGAAAGTGCAGAAAAAGTTAATTTATTAATTTTTTGATTTATTTAAATAGTATATCATTTTTTTAAATTTCTTTTACGTTTTTTTGTAATTTTTTTTTTTTTTTTTTTTTTTGGTACTCCCCATAACAACTTTAACTATAATTAATGAAAAAAATACACGCACCATTTTACAATATTATTCTAAACTCTAAACCAAAAAAACCTAACAACCACGGTAGATATACCTTCCTTTTTTCTAGGTAAAAGATCAGCAATCAATGAAGCAGATAATGATAAAGGAGGTTGGAAGGAGGGCTTTTGGCTTAAAATAACAACAGTAATGATAGAGCTCACAAAATATAATACTCATAATTTTTAAAATGATTTAAATTATTTATGTCTCTGTCAGAGATAAAAAAAAAAAAAAATTTAAACACGTCAATGGTTAATACATCAATGGGATCGTAGGAGTCCTCATTTGTGGGGGTCCTAAACATTTTTCAAATAACAAAGCAATCACTATGTACAAGATTAAATAATAATTGAAAATTTTATTTTTAAGTTAATTAAAATTAATTTAAAAAAAAGTAAAAAATAAATAGGATAAATTACATTGATATTCCCTGATATTTCTATTTAATATAAACATCTTCTTACATGTGAAAAATTATATTTCCTTCTCTGAAATTTATAATTTCATTACAAATTGCCCCTGGATTGTTGATGTCATGCCTTAAAATTTTCTAAATGACTATCTTGTCATTTTTCCAACTATTTCTTCTTCATATCATTATAATTACATTCTATAATTTTCTATTATTAAATTATACCTGAATATATTCTTATTGAGTGATGATATACAAACATAAATTTTTTATAGATTTTTTAAACACAGTGATATAGTTTAATGGTGAACTTTCACTTTAAAACAAAACACTCATAAATATGATTTATATCTACAACAATATCATTATCACAAAATTTTTATGATATTTTTTATATAAATTTTTATATATGAATATAATTTTTTATTTTTATTTCCACAATTATATTTAGATTAGATCAATTTAATCTAGATATATTTAAAAGTATAAATTTTGTATAAATTTTTTTTAAAAAAATTCATTAAATACAACAAAATAAAATAGTGTATTGAATTTTTGTATTTTTATATTTTTTGTATTTGGCTAATTTAAAAAAAAATCACGAAATAATATACATTTTAAGTATATTTACATTAGGTGTATCTACAAAATAAAAAAATTGCTTAAAATATTAAAATAATTTAGTGAAAAAAAAAAACTCAATTTTTTTTGTAAGTTAAACTAAAGAAGATGATTGTTATTTCCCTTGAAGTAACATGAACAAAATATCTACATTATTTTATTATTTTATATGTACAAAGGCTAATGGACAAATATGTTATTTTAATTTGATAAGAGGGTAAGTGTAATTTTTCAAATGTGAGGAGGGTCTGTATTAAATAAAAACCTTAAGGGGGTGTCGGTGTAATTTACCCAAATAAATAATATTAAGTAAGTGTTAACTTTTTTTTTTTAGTAAAAAGAGTGTTTGAAATTAGCTTTTTTTAAGTGGCTTTTTTAATTTTTTAAGAGATAAAAAAAAAAGTTAATCAGCTTGTTTGGTTTTGGTTTTCAGAAAATGTTTTTCAAAAATTTTTATTTTTTTATTTTTTGTATTTTTTTGTTTTCAATTAATTTTTTTTAATATTTTAAGAATTGTTTCAATTTTTAGGTACACCTAACATAAATACATTAAAAAGTATAATATTTGTGAATTTGTTTTTTTTTTTTAAAAAAATTCACTAAATACCAAAAATATAAAAAAAAATAAAAATTCAGTATATTTTTTGTATTTATTAATTTTTTAAAATAATTTTTCACAAATATTTGTTATTTAGATACATCTAAGTAAGGTGGATTTAAAAAAGTAAAAAAATTGCTTAAAATTTTAAAAATATTCACTAAAAATAAAAATAAAAAACACAAAAACAAAAAAAACTAATTTTCAAAAAACTAAATTTAGAAAACTAAAACTAAACACGCTGAATGCATTTAGGAATGAGTTTTTTAATTGCATGGACAAATGCAATTATTTTTGTTTGTTACTTAAATTTTCCGTTTTGCCCTTCCAAAGGTGTAAACACTTATGCACTCATTCACAAGAATTGTTTGATCTTTTCAAATTGGTACAAAGTTTTTCAAAGTTTTTTTTTTTTTTTTGGGTACATGCCAAACACATTTTAACATTCTTTAGTTTATTAACTTTTTAATAAAAAATATAATATTTCAAACATGGCATGAGTTACACAATTTTTATTTTATTTTATTTTTTGTTGCTATTAATATTTTTGTCGCTAAGTATTTTATAACAAATTGATACATAATATATCAATTAGTAAAATTAAAACAAATTAATTTTTTAAAATTACAAAAGTTATACTTTCGGTCAAGTATAATTACATTATCAATGAAATTTGTAATTATAATTTATCAAATCACAGTTTGTAAAATAACAATCTTATCTTTTTTTTTGTCTCTCTTCCTCTCTCCTACTTATCTTCTATTTCTCTTTATTTTTAAGGCGATATGGCAAAAAAATTGAAATGAAATATTAAAATTTTTATATTTATTTCAGTAACTACATTAGGAAAAATATTATCATATTAGTAAAATTTGGTTTGTCAATTGATATAGTATGATAAATTTGAGTTGACCATAAAATGTAAGGGTATTTTTAAATTTTATGAGATGATCGAGCCACCTAAGCCAGGTTAGATTTATGTCAGGCCAATTTGTTTATGTAAATAATTTTTAAATTGGTAAAAATACTTCATTAGTAAATTTTTTTCATAATAAAATGTACTTATTAATGCATATTTAATAGATTTGAAAAAATAGATTATATGCAATCTTTTATAGTTTTGTTATTATGATCGTAACTTCACTTTACTCTAGACAATTGTAGATAATTTTATAACATTTTTAAACAAAATTAAATAAAAATTAATTCAAACAAAATATCACTTCAATTCAAACAAAATTAAACATATATTTATTTACGTAAATATTTTTAAATTGATATTTTTAAACAAAAATAACCTCAAATAAAAATATTAAAGTGAAGTTATAAAATATTAAAGAAAAATTATTAATTACTTTTGAACTAATGCTCTATACCAATTGTCAATTAAGACATATCATAATGTCACAAAATATTAAAAATACAAAAAAAAAAGAAAAGAAAAGAAAAGTAGTGATATACAAACTTTTAAATCATTACAAAAAAATTATTAATAATGATTTGGTTGAATTTTGATCCATCACTTTATAATAAAGATCCATTGACATTTTTTTATTATACAAATGACACTATCACATCATTTTAGGATAAAATTTTACATAAAAAACCTAATGACATAATATTTTCTAACAAAAAAAAAAAATGGTTATAAGCAAAAAATAAAATAAAATAATAATGGTCAGTAGAGAGTACAGGGACAAATGATACATAAAATATGAAATACAAAAATAAAAAATGGTTAGAAGTAAAAGATAAATAAATAAATAACAAAAAAAAAAAAGTGTGGGCTTAAAAAATGTAAAAGTAGAGAGGAGATGTTGACTTTTCTTGGGAAGACTAAATAAGTGCACTTTTTGACTTTTCTTGTATTATGTGTAAAAAAAGTAGAGAGGAGATGTTGATTGATGTGACCCAAAAAAGATAAAAAGATAAAATAAGTGCACTTTTTTAGTTTAGCCAAACTTGGCCCTTAATACAAACAATTTAATTATAAGAAACTATCAAATCAGTTTTCCAAATTAATTATAAAGAAATAAAATCAATCAAATAAAAAAGTTTAAACAAATTTGAATTGATTTTTGTTTGATTTATTTTAATGAACGAAGGATTTTAGGTAGAGACTTTAGAAGATGAACAAATAAATTAGAAGGTTAACAAATTGTTTGATTTATATTTGATTTTAGGAAATGGTCATCTTTAGTCAATAATCTTAAGAGATAAGCATGAAGATTTTTTATTTATTTTTTTTTTAATTCAAAAATTATGTGAGACATAAGAATAATTTATTATTATTTTTAAATTGAAAAAATAAGAAATTGACTTTGGGCATGTGGAGGCTTTAGAAACTTTCTCACCAAAAATCCTCCTTTTACTTGTATAATATACAGATAGATAGATAGATTATATTATGAAAAAAGGTTGTGAAATGGTGATTGTCACGGCAAAGCTACTTAAATTTCGTTTGTTATACTTTTTTTTTTTTTTTTTAATCGACAAAAGTTA